ATTTTGATAGGCAGAACATCTTCTGTCCACTTTTCTCCTTTAATTTCATATTACAAAAATTACTGAACTGCGTATTATCAGAACTTATAGCTCCTTAAAAGTAAAAACCAGTTTTTTTCCGAATACTCTAAAGTGCTCAGTAATGTGTCTTCACATAGAAGGTTAGAAATTAATGTTTGTTGTATTGGAGTATACCAAAAAGTACAATCAACACGACTTTCAAAAGAAAAAAATGACTCCCCAAAGTTCTTCAGGCAGGTGTCTTTAGGTTTGAAGATCTAGGAGTGATACTCTGTTCCATGTCCCCGTAGGATGTTTTGGGGATTCAGAGAATTACTCAGAACACACTGAGTAAGAAGTTTTGGAATTTTGGAGTCTTGGGGCTTTACATATTTCACTGGAAACTCCATAAGGAGGAAATAAAAATTGGCCCTCCCTTGGGACCAATAAAGACATTAGTAAAGTTCTCTTGTCAAATTGTACATCTTGTCATAATTACAAAAGGAGAGTCATTCCTTTGCTCTTTCACTATATAGCAAGTGTGATAAAGCATGTTTTGTACTGGGAGCACAAGCAAAACAGTGAATGAGGAAACCTCAGATACAGTCTAACAGGGCAACAGCACAACACGTTAGGGATACAGATCACATGTGTAGCCAGTTCAGTTTCTTGAGGGTGGGGAAGTTTTAAGGGTAAATAGAGTCAGCCAGCTAGCTCAGAGGTGTTCTAAGCACAAGGAACAGTACATACAAAGATCAGGAAACAAGTATACTGCACCTTGGGAAAAGTAACAATGTTTGAGGATCAGCAGTTCATCAGTGAGGAGGAATGAGGCTAGAAAGGTTATCAGAAATCTGATCACATTGGGAGCAATACAATATGCTTTTCATGGAATAAAAGTTTTTTATGGCACTAGGTTACAGAGCTGAATTGATCTGATTATAAATAAACTCTTATAGGACTTATAGCATCATCCATTACATGTACTCAGTCATACAATCTCACTCTAATTTTGGAGGATACGTAAGAGTGAAACCTCAAACACTTTAAATTAGCATAGCCCTCTCACATTTCCAAAGCATCTGTATAGTGTCACATCCCAAAATACCCCCAAAACTTGGAATGCTTGTTGTCTGATACAGAAACATTCTAGTTTATTCTGCTAAGGTCATTTCTTTTCAGGTCTCCTTTTGTTACATTGCTAACATAGTATGATTTTTTATCTTATTTTTATCTTCAAATTCTAGATCTAGCTAAGTGTTGCCTATGACAGTTACATAGTAAAAACCTTCGGGTGTGGCATTCTACTGTGATTTTTTTTCTTATAAGATGCATTTTATCTGTCAATTATGGAACAATTTTGTATATTCCAAAGGACCTCCAGTTTAGTATAAAAGATAAAGCCATATTTTGGTTTCTGCATTTTATAAACCAAGACTGTGTTGGTTGAAATACTTTAATGTTTTCAAAATTGAGTTTTTGAAAATATTTTGTGCAGGAAGCAAGAAGTGATAAGAGTCCAGATTTGGCACCTACTCCTATACCACAGAGCACACCACGAAATACCATCTCTCAGTCAACTTCTGGAGATCCTGAGACAGACAGAAAAATCAAGAACCTGAAGAAGGTGAGAGACTTAAAAACATGTACTTATTAAAAAATACTTGAGAATTCTATGAAAACAGGCATTTCAGAGTTCCTGGCAGTGCTCATTGTTGCTTTCTCATTGTGCAATACTGGAGCTCAGGCATGGCACTGATTTTAGTTCTATTCACAAATGTTTACAGACTGTTAGGCCTTTTCATTTGCTGCATTGTAGCCAGTTTGTGAGGTCACTAGAGCTGCATTATGAAGTTGCTCATAGAGCCATATACCAAATCAGTCAGGTACAGTGGAGCGCTAAAATAGATGGTGAAATTGGTGATGCATTTACATACTTTACATACCTGTATAGACACACATATACATACATGATAATATTAGAGACTTATAAAATATTTTTCCAAATCCCATGTTGTTAACATCCAATTTTATACTTAATTTTAAAAAGCATTTTAAGACTGTACTTGATAAAAATGTTTGCACTCATATGATTGAGGTGTTAACTAAGAAAATTTGCATTCTAAAATGATTTATTCCTCCTGACATAATATATTTGATGTTTGCAGAAACTGAAGGCAATTGAACAGCTGAAAGAACAAGCAGCAACTGGAAAACAGCTAGAAAAAAATCAGGTCTTTTCTGCATTTTTCACCTTGGCTTATAGTCACTACCACCTTTCCTTCCCCTCTTTATTATAAGCAGTTGTTTGATTAGGTAAAAGAGCACACAGATTGAAAACTTACTGTGAAAAACATATGCCATATATGTATTCTTTAATGTTTCCACTCTTAAACAGGAAAGGATAGTGAAAGACATGATGTAGGTAATGGTGAATGAGAGAGTCCACTAGTCCTGAAAGGCATACTAATGCCATTGCTGCTGAAAATAAAGGGAATTTATGATATTAGACAAATATAAGATTCTCCTCCTCTATCTCAGGTTGCACTGCCCAGTTTGCCCCTTCCCTCCTTTCCTCAGCACTTCTAAGCCCAGATATAGAATGGAAAACTTATTGGACCTAAAGGGATGTGGTATGACACCTTCTGTCCTTTGTCCCAATTGTTCATACCCAATAACAAATTAGAACTTATTTCTAATCTGTATTTTTAAATCTGTGTTTACCAGTGGATCTGACAAAGTGTCAAAAATACTCTTTCTCTAAATTATTTCTCCTTTGATATTTTGGCTATAGATGCAACAATTACTTCGTTTTATTTAATTTCCTATTTAATAACTTTATTGTCTTATATTTTTCTAGTTGGAGAAAATTCAAAAAGAGAAATCCCTTCTTCAGGAGCTAGAAGATTTGGAATTAGGTATTTAAAGATTCTCAGAAAGCAAGTTGGTTACCAGAAATCAGTGTAAACGCATTTTCTGTTAAACCCATTGGTATATATAGAATATCCACATGCCCACATTTAATGTTCATCTGTAATTTTAACCATTTATCTAAGATTCTGCATACATGTGAATTTATTTGATAATGTCTATTAAATTGATTTTTTAATTCTGCATCCTGTATCATGTCAACACATGATAGGGAAAAGAGACATGAATATTTTATCTAAGCTTGACAGATTGAAAGACAAATACTGTTTTTTAGTGGGGGACAGTATTTACCATATAAATGAATAAAGATGTTAAATTTAATCATTGTTAGTTTCATTGTAAGTTCCTTGGTTAATAAGTTCATTATTAATTTACACGGCAAGTTTGGGAAATTTTTTCTTTGAGTATATAATAGGACTTTTATGATCCTAAAATATTATTTTCAAAACCTTAAAGAAAAGCCTTAAAAATCAGGTTGTATAAGTATATTAAATTGTTTTTCTTATTTGTAGTATTTGAAGAAAAGTTTTTGATTAGTTTTAAAGTAAACAGACTTCAAAAATAGGAAATAGTAAAACATTTTATTTTGATATTTAAAATAATAAATATTGTGATTAAAGGATGAGATAAATATTTTCCAAATATGAGATGTGATTACTTTGCTATCGTCTTGTTTTGATTGTCCATTCATATGGACAATGTGAATGAACACAGGGACATAGGAAAAAAATGATGTAATGATAACCCCAGACATTCAACTGTCAAAACTAATTTAAATTTGATTTTAGAGTCTGCTAAGATTAATTCTTTTCATCAGGTTTACATTTGAATTATTTTTATTTTAGTTGCAGTGATACAAGTTTTCATTTTCCAGAGCTAACATTTAAACTGATAGGTAAAAGAAAAGAATCCAGAAACATCTTGAGACACATACAGAAACAAATAACTGAGTTCGCTGATGCCCCAAAGCTTCTAATAAGATTTGATAAAGACCTAATGCATGAAAATTTAAGTAGTATGGTGAATGTTTTGGGTGTGGGATGTATATTTGTATGTACGTACATACAACTTCTGTACATGTTACTGCTTTAAACATTAATTCATTTCTGATAATAGAAACTTAAGCAGATAGATTACTTTTACAATATATTACTTTAAAAGTTGTTTTTCTAGTAAAATCTTAAATAATGTGTCATGAGACACTATAGTGTTTTTTGGCCTGGCAGTCTAACAATTTTTTGAAAAATTAATTACTGTTATTAACACAGTTTACAGTAAACATATTAATCATTTTTTAAATGTTATCTCAGAGTTAGTGTTTGAACCTTTGGTGTTAGATACTTGTTAATTGCTCAAGGGTGGCTGTTCCTACCAGAATTTTTAGACTGACTTTATGGAATTGTCTTTATTTCTGTACTCATTTCATACATTTTAAATTTTTTCTAAAAATTGTTTTATTTCTGAGCACACATCAATATAAATACCACTGAGGTAGTCTTTAACTGCACATTTTGTTTGATTTTTATTTCAAACATTATCTTCTAGAAGTAAGAGCAGGGTGATAGAAAAAGAGTGTAAGGTGTTAACAGCCTCCTTAAAAATGAACTTTTAAATGCATTGCTGTATTCATTATAAAGGAAAATCTGTAAACCCTGGATTCTCATAAAAATCTTCCTTCCTTAATCATCTAAGAAATGTATTTGGCATTTACCATAAGCATCTCTGAAGAGCATTAGACACTTGAGGGGAGGCACTTCAGTAGATGCAAATACTCTCCTTGTCTTTCATGAGTTAAGCGAACTTCGCAGAGAAGAGAAAAAGGAAAAAAACCCAACTCTTGCCCCCAAAAAAGGAATGATTCTCTTTAAAAAAAAATAGAGTTAATAATTTTTGTCAAAACACGATTATGTTGCCAAATAAAATAATACTGAATATTTTCAAAACAATACTGTATTTTCTATGGGTACATTTAAGTATGTAAACTTACCAAAAAAAAGTCTCGTGAGGGTAAATTGATGGTAAAGTCTGGTAAACATTAACCTGCTGACACTGATGACTAGGGTGGACGATGGTCAAAAAGAACTTTAGCCTTACTTACAATGTTTAGTTTTTTTATGTATATAAAAGAATATAGTTTTGTACAATGTAAAAATCATAATTAATTGAGACTAGGCTTCAGAATTGGAAATTATCTTTTTCCAGTTCAATTATATGACTACCTTCTTTCTCATTGCTAAGAGAAGAACTCAATGTTATGGATATTGAATGAAATTCACTTAACTCTTTGGAATACCTCACCTGATATCTGAGGCATCATGAGAGGGAGGTATATGTCTACAAAAGCAACTCCTGTTTGTTTTTGTTTTGTTTTTTTTAAGAAATTTTAACAAGTAGAATTGAAAAGTCTGCTGTGTTCCCTTATAAATGCCTAATAAAATGTGATTCCATCTTTTATCCTGGCATATTACTAATATAAAAACAAAATAGTTTGACTCCTACCTCACACATTCATTGATTCACTTACAGTTATTTTTATTTTCAATGGGTACCTGTAAGATTTTTCCATGACACCGAGGCCATAGAATTAAGGAATTTACCAATATCACAGCACTATGATATGAACCCAGAAAGTCTGACACCAGAGCCCATGCTCTAGGTCACCACGATAACATTGCTTCTGTGTCCTTAGGTAATATATCCTTCCTTCCACACTTGTTTTAGTGTGATTGAAGGATGGATTTCTCTAAGCATGACTGCCGGATCATGGACTGTGTGCATCAAGTTTTTATGGATATAGCCAGATTGCTCTCTTTAAAGGTTATACTTCCATCAGTGAAAGTTTTCCATACTCTCATCTATAAGGCTTTTGAGGTTTCAAGAGAGCTGAAATGCTTTTTGTTATTATTTCTTTTTATTAGGGGAGGGTTATGTACTTTTCCACATTTAACACCTGTTTATATTTCTTTAGTGAATTGTTTCTCCTTTTCCTTTGCCCTTTTCTCTGGTTTGGCTTTCTTAACTGATTTGTAAGAGTGTCCTGTGTGATAACATAAAATCTTCTTTTTACAAATATTAAGTAGGTAGTACATGCTCAGAAGTTTTTTAAAAAATTCAAGCAGTATAAAATGGTATATCATAAAAAACACCTCTGTTCTAGAGGCAGCAATTACCAGTTTCTTGTGTGTCTTTCTAAAGATACATAGCATGTGAGTATTCAAGTATATGTACACATGCTTTTTTAAAAATAATGGCATATATACACTGTTCCGTATTCCTTTTTTCCCTTAACATATTCTGGAGGTAATTCCATATCAATATACATACATATATATTTGAGACTAAGCTTCAGAATTGGAAATTCAATTATATATATATATAATTCCTTTTACTATACATATAACTTAATAATGACCCATTGTATCAAATAGGATTTATCTCACGCTAATAAACGTTTAGGTTATAATACACAGACATGTACACTTGCTTACAAACGACATCAAGGTATGTACATTTATTTGTATTTTGGAATTAAGTTGGATGTTTTGAGAAATGAAATTAGTTCCATAGATGCTCAGTTTAACTGGTAGTCATTTTTGCACTATATTTCTTTGAGTTATTGAGGTACCAGAAAAGACAGGTAGGAATATTAAGAATTTTTACTCAAGTGAGGTTTCAAAGAATTTCTTGGGTTCATACACATGTGTAAATACATTTTTAAGTACTTAAATGACAGGAATGACTATGATGGCCTTGCTGTTTCAGTCTTGCCAAAATTAAGTGTTTTATTTTGTTCTGGAAAGAAGGAGTAATAGTGGAATAAGCCTACAATTGGTGCCTACTTCTCTGGGTCATCCTTGGCTACCAACACCATAAAGTCAAACCAGATTTAGATGGAATAACCTTCACACTTTTTCTTTAAAGCTACATAGATCAATTCATGCAGTATTTACTGGGTACAGTTGAGGTTACAAGAGAAATGCAGTGTATCATTTAGGAATATCAAGTTAAGACTGGTTCATGAAATGAAGTAGAAAATAGAAAATAATTGAAGATTCAAGACCTGATATCAAAAGATGTGGACAGGTGTCTCAATCCATTTGGGCTGCTGTAACAAAAAACAGTAGTAGACTGGGTCATTTATACACAAGGGTACTTCTCAAAGTTCTGAAGTTTAGGAAGCCCAAGATCAAGGCACTGGCAGATTTGGTGTCTGGTGAGAGCCCACTTCCTGATTCATAGGCTGCTGTCTTCTTACTGAGTCCTCTTATAGTTGAAAGGGTGAGGGAGCTCTCTGGGGGCTCTTTTATAAGGACACAGTCCCATTCAGGAAGGCTGTGCCCTCGTGACCTAAATCACTTACCATAATCCCCACCTCCAAACACCATTACCCTCAACATAGAAATTTTGGAAGGACACAAACATTCAGTCTGTAGCACCAAGGGCAACATAAAAACAAGCTTTCAATATACACTTACAAAAAGATGGGAGGCCTACTGTAATTACCAATATTTCTTCTCATCTCTTGGGCAACCTCTTGAAGTCAAACCTGTATAAATGACTAGCTTCAGGCAATGAAATGTTTGGGAGGTGAGGTATGTCACTATTGAGCAAAAGCATTTAAGAGCCAGTGCTTTGTTCTGCATGCTTCTTCTGCTGTCTTGGACCCTGAGGGCTAGGGTTGAGATAGCACTCTCATAGATGGTGGATCTCTTGAGTGACAATGATAAACAAAATCTCTCTGCTGACTCGGTTGGACTTGTAGCATGAATGAGAAATAAATTTTTGTCTTTTAGAACACAGAGTTTGGCGATGTTTTTTATCCCCAGATAACTTAGCCCAGTGATTCCCAAGTTTTGTTGCACATGAGAATCACCTGGGAGCTTTTACAACTCCCAGTGCCGAAGTTCCCTACCAGCTAAGTAATGTCTGATGATGAAAAATAGGCATCATTACAGTGTCCTTTGGATTCCCCAGGTGATTCCAGTGTGTTAGCAAAGTTTGGGAATCACAAATCTATCCTGTGCTTTTCATCTCCTACAGTATTAATACATTCCTGAAAATGTGTGAGAAAGCCAAGTGATTTTATTTTCTGTTGTAGGGTGTGTTCATCCTTAAAGAGCCTAAAATATAAATATTTTACATCTTGCCTTATGGACATAACTATTTGCTATAGTTACAGATTTCACATGATTTTAGTGTTCTCTTTTCTTAATACTTGCACCAACAATTCTGTGGGCATCTTGTGCTAAATATTTTCCACTTTTGGCACACCTACTAAATTCCATATTTTCTCAGTACTAAGTTTTAAAACTAAAGTTTCTTATTCTAAACATCGGTACTAAGGGACACCAGAGAGCTTGCTCTTTGTTTCTCCCTGCCATGTGAGGACCCAGCAAGAAGGTCCTTGCTATGCTGTTACACTAATCTTGGACTTCCAGTCCTCAGAACTGTGAGGAAATGCATTTCCATAGTTTAAGTCACCCAGCCCGTGGTATTTTGTTGCAGCAGCCCAGCGGACTAATTACAGGGTGGGTGTACAAATTCCAGATGGTTTAAAAGTCAAGGAGAGACTTCATGGGAAAAGAAAAAAAGGATTTAATGTGTATCTATTATGGGCACTCATAGAAAAAAAGTTTTAAGGTTTATCATGTTTGTCATGGTGAGCAGCTAAATAGAGGATGCGTAGAATCCAGACAGAATCTAGCATTTGGACTTTCTCCACATAAATAGTAATGGAAATATTCACAGTCCATTTCTTAGTTAATTTTATGTGTCATGTAACATTTTACTCTGCCGGCCTAATACACACACATTGGGTAGAGTAATTCATCCTTCATTGTAAACTGTGAAAGTAGAATACTTCCTGAATTTATATCCCCCTGCCAAGTAAAAATTAATACTTATAAATTCCAAGGAAATTTGATATCTGAAAGTCTGTGAAATGTGAAAAAAACAAGATGATGAGTTTTTCAAAAGTGAGCATTTTATTCTTGGCTTTTCCATTTTCTACAGAAAGACACAATCCATTAACTGACATACAGACATAGTCCTTGCGGAGACTGTAATCCCTCCATCGTATAAGTGGTCAGTCAGAGGCACCAGCAATAAGGTGACCCCTTTACAGAGACAGCTCAGCACTGTAGAGTCAGTAAAATTAGACATCAGGTCTAAATTAGACAAACAGGTCTATAGAGACCTGTTTACATGGAGGGCTTCCCCTGAGTGGGAGGATGACTGTCTAATTAGCTACCTGATTGCTGTTTGATAGCCCACTCCTTCCCTATATTAATTTGGTTCCTGGAGCCTCTCTAGGGCTTCCCCAGCTCCTATCTTCACTTTACCTTTTTCCTGGTGTATTGTGGAAATGATAAGTAGCTAATCAGCATGGTTCCATCTACTTCCTGTTGCCAATCTATGGTTTCTAGACCACTCTTTCCAGTTTGCCGTGGATTTATTTCTTGTACCACTTTGCTGACATTTCTCTGAGATCCTGAGAAAGGAGAGAGGCAAATGCATGTGATTACTTTGCTATCTTAAATTGAAAGTCACTAAAGCACACTTCTATAGGTTATTTTATATTTTGTAATATATGTATTTTTTAAATGACTTTGAAAATTGAAAGAATTTTATCCATTTCACCCCAAACACAATTCCTGATAATGGCCACTACAGGGTTCCAAAGATCAGAATACTATGGAGGGAAATTAGGAATTAGAAATTTTAAAACATATCTGGAAAATATGTTGACTCACTTAAAATTTGCCACTTTAATAGCCTGGATTTCTGTTCTTTATTTTTTTCTTGTCAAACTCCCTGAATTAGCTCTCTCTAATGTTGACATCAGATGTATTCCTACTTTTCTCCTAAGTTCTTTTAGTGATCTACTGGCTGCAAATGAGTCATGCCCAATAATTTGTTTATATGTCAAATGTTTACAAAATGGAATGTTTTTTCCCATAGTGGTAATAATATAAGTGGATGTTGGTGCTGAGATGAGGCCATGAAAACCTTCAGTAGAAGAACGGAGTATAGATTCGTTTTTTTAAAAAGCAATTTAAGAATTAATTTTTAAAAAATTGATGCCAGGACAAGAAATGTAGGGCAATAGAATGAGAATTATTTTTGAAAGTTTAAATGCTATTTTTAAAAACAGATATAAACGAAGGAAAAAAATTTTAGGAGATTCCTAAGGATGTTTTTGATTATTCTTGTGTGCTTTAGTCTAATTCTTTACTATATATACATAAACTTCTCTTTTCCTTGATACAAATTTTCACTATTCTTAAATTTAACCACAGTTGAGGTCATTTAGTGTTTACAAAAGAAATGAAGAGCAGGAAAGAAAGAAGAGAGGTTTTTATTAGGCAAAAAATGGAAGCAGGAAGGAAAGGTAAAAACGCATTACGGAGAAAAAGATAACACATGAGATGAACAGAGAAATGAAAGCAAAGA